ATAACAATAACAATAACACCAACAACACCAACAGCAGCAACAACAACAAGAACAATAATAAGAACAACAACCAGAACTACAATAACAACTTGGTTTGGATAAGAACAACAACCATGGTAACAAACTGAAGCAGCTGGTTTCTTCAGCATCCAAATTAGAGCAAATCAGAGATATCAACCATGAGTCCCATATTGTGGTGATTAAATACCACCCGTTTGAAATGTCCCTGTACCCTTTCCAGCCGAGAGGTCAACCCGGACGGCACCTTCAACATGTCACATTTTTTCTTCGGTTCCTTTCTTGCTGACCTACCTTTCGTGTTCCCCTTCTCAAGTCTGATTCAATATCTGGACTGGCATTCCAATATGATGTTCCAAGAGTCATATTTTACCCAACCACTCGTCATCTCCCAGGCAGGCACGGCATACTACGTGGCCCCTGAGGCTGGAGATGCCTTCCAGTCTTCCAGTCGTAAGGTTCATCCACAAATGAGGAATTTACCCCGAAGTCATTTACCTGTTTTGAATCAATTTGATATAACATCAATATCTATATCTTAATGATTTCCAAGATACAAAACTCCGCGGAGTCATGGCAATTTTGATCTATTTTAATGGGAACAAAATGATGATTGACCATGCTGGGGTACACTATTCTTAGACAAACTCAAATCTTCCAAGCGACGGAAACCAGGTGCTGAAAGGCGAGTATGATGAAAAATGTGCGGCCCTCGGTTGGCAAGATGTAGTTGGCAGCCTGAGAATTCAGAGAATGAGCTCAGTATAGAGGGGTCCACATTCTGTGAATTCGAAAGTTCCATGATGGCTAGTTGAACATCTGGGTTTGGTTGAAAAAAGGGATACCCCTAAATTCATTGGTTCAGCATCATTGTTCTTTCGAAATTGGCCAAATTGGAATACATTCCCAAGTTTCATTGAGACTCATATCTGAGAGGCCCGTGAAAAAGCTGGTTTTGCCATCGGTTTGCCATGTCTGGAGTCTGGTCTTCCCAGCTGTCTTTCCATGTGGCTTCCAAGGTGATGTCTGGAGCTCCGGAGTCATTTCTTTCGTTCTGCTGTGTGGCTATCCTCCCTTTGCTGGTGATGAACTCAGCAGAGTTCAGCGTTGAAGGACTGAAACTTCTTCCTGGGATGATATGACGGCGATTAGCTTGAAGGTTTCCTGCATCAAGGGTGGATCTTATATATATTAATATTATATTACATTATATTATATTATATTATATCATATCATATTATATGATATTATATGATATTATAATATAATATATTATAATATAACATATTATTACAATATAATATTACAATATAATATTAGAATATCATATCATAATATATAAATATATTATATATTATATATTATATATTATATATTATATTATATTATATTATATTATATATTTGCTATCAGCTATCACTCATCATCCATCTCATTGGAATCATCCCTCTGAAGATGCCCAGGGGTGCAGCTACAAGTCGCTGTGCTTGTACCAGCCATGTCCTAGGTGACACAGATCCCGAGATCCTAAAAAAGGTGGGGTTTGCTGCCTTGGTGTTCGTCAATCTGAGTCAAGCATCATTCGACCGCAGCTGTCTGACCTGTAAACGATGAGCCATGGATCTGGACACATTTGGCTAATTAAATTTGATTATAAGTGGGTAATTAAATTTGAACCCACTATCGAACAAAATATGATTCCATTTCACATTTGGCTCGAACTAGCAAACTCTCAGAGATTGCTGTATGGTGAACGCCATTTCTTCCAATAGCGCAGTGAAGTGTAAGCGAGAAGGACGGAGTGATGACAGATAGAAGCTCGCTTGCAGGAAATTCATCATGATTTCACGCCTGGTGTCTGGAATTTGAGAGACCAGAAAAGGACATAGTATCGCGGTCAACCAAGTCTAGTTCTTGTTTCTCGAACTGTTGGGATCACCTCTTGAAAATGCCAAGAAGTAGGCAATTCTTGATGTCGAAGCCAAGTTTTTGCTGCCAAGAGAATCACTTCTTCTTTCCCCCGCAACGCCACCCGGACTTTCATTTCAGCCCTGGATCCAATGGAATTCCAATAAGGAGGGTGGTTTCCTTCCTTTCGAGCGTGGCTCTTCTTGGGACTTCTTGGTGCTTGTGGCCTTTCTTGGGCGCTACTTCGTTCGACTGGCAACGTTACTCTGCAAGGCTCCCCTTCAGAGACTTAGCATTCGCTCAAAACAGAACTTTGGCGATTTTTCCCTTGGATGTTCCTTTCCAAAGAATGCTTCAGTTGAGAACTTTCTGGAATGGACTCCTTGATTGGGTTGTATCCAAAATGCGATCAGTACTTTAGGGAGGTAACCTGGGCGTGTCTAAAGCTATACTATACCCCACAATTGCAATATTCATACAGAACATTACAAAAAACAATTTTAGATGGTTTTCCCTAAAAAAATCATAGAAACCCACCTAGAAATATGGGAAAGTGTCCGATCTTCAGCAAAAACCTAAGGACACGCTTTCAGCGTGGCAAGCGGATGATCAGATCGGATGGCATCGAGCAGTGCTGAACACACTGATCCGGCAAGGTCGGTGCTGTTGAAGAATCATCATTCACTGGATGGAATATGATAATGTGGGTAAAACAATAATAAACCACCCATGACTGGGAATGGTAACCATACCACCTACAAAAATGGTGATGACTGGAGGATGGTTTATTATTGTTTTACCCACATTACACTATTTTCAGAGAATATTTATTGATATTTATTGGGGATCACACTTCCGGTTGCAAGAGGTATCACCATGGATGATTGAGATTCCCATTTTTTCAAGGCGTATTTTTTTCTTCAACACGATGAAGTTGGAGACGATGGTGGTTTGGATGGGTTGAATTATGTTGATTTTCCCAAGTGTTTGACTGAACATCGGAGTGGAGCATGTTTTTCAATACATGCTACTCTCAAACCGGTTGATTGTTGTTCGTGCAGCAGTATTTGGGTCGTTCTACAGGATACTGAGCCTTCCCGCCTCCGAAGGTGAAAGCCTGAAGTCGCCTTTAGTGAAAACCCTTCCGAGGCTTTGCCGCAAGCTCAGCAGGTGTTCCTATGTCTTCCTAGTTTTCTGATTTTTGAACATGCAATGTGTCTACCTTGCAACATTCTACATCATAGACAAATCTAGGTCTTTAATCATCTTTAATCACTGATAGCAAACTTAGATGTGCAGCCCGGCCATCGACATGCCAAGGACACCTAATGAATCTGTATGTTCTTTCAATGTGGGTTTCCCTGGAAATCCTTGCAAATTATTCTTTCCCGCTTTTCTCCTTTTCTCACTACCCGTCCTTCTAGGATGGGTCAATTCGTGCACGTGCTGAAAAGACATGGGCGACGGGTTCAGATTGACTTTCCTGCGCGAGGTTGGACATCGATCACCACCGCAACTTGGCAGATGCAGCAGCTTTTTGGTTTCCGCCCTTGCTTTGCATCCCTTGGTGCTTTGAAGTCAGCCAGCCTCGGGTGATTTTTCCTCTTGATCTCAAGATTGCGTGAGGTAAAAGGCGAGCCGATCTTGATGTGGGACGCGCCAGAAGCGGAACACAAGAATGTGTGGAGCCTTCCCCGAGACGAACGAGCTGCTGTTTTTGAATCTCGCGAGATCTTAGCGATGAATCAGAAGAAGCAGAAAGACGAGCAGGAGGAGAAAGAGCTCAGGACTGGTGTCCGCAAGTGAACATGGAATAAAATGGATTAAACATGATGAATAAACATATTCTCCATGATATGGTTCCGCAAAATGAACGGGGCCTATAGCAAGGTTTGTGGGGGAGATATTTCAAATTGGCCATGAAGAGAGAGACGCCTGTCGTTGCTTTCGCTATGTTTCGCTTACAGCGCAGCATTTTCGGTGTATTCTGACGGGATTGACGGGACATCCGTGACGTCAGGAAAGGCCTGGAGTCGTTGGTGCGCAGATATCAATCGGGTGACCTCCAGGAATCACTCGAGAAGCGCTTCAGTATCAAACACATCAAAGACGTGGAAGGTGAATTGGAGCGTGGCATTGAACAGGTTGGCAACGCCACCCAGCAGGTTTTAAAAGCCCTGTCCGAAAACAAGACCAGCATCAAGGGAATCGAAGATGCACTGAATGACACCGGCCTCTTGACCCAGGTGGTAAAGGCTGGACATAGTTCAGAGCAGAAGAACCTCAGACATTAGCGGAGCCTTTTGATTGGCTCATGTTTCAGTAGATGGCAACTACCTGGGGCACGAAGATGCTTGGGTAAACAGACCATTTCAAGTCGGCCCTTAGACATTGATATCAAGGAAAGCTCCGAAGCCAAGCCCCTGGCAGTGTCAAAGCGGTGGCTCAAAGCGACTCATCAATGAGCAAATTCGGCAAAATTGGCCGCACCCATTGAGACCAGCACTGCTGCGCTCTCTGAAAAAAGGCATGCCGAGCAAAAATCACCGTGACATGTTGCCGATTCCACTTGATCCAGAATGCCATTTGCTTAGATTCTGACAACTTCTGTTCGTGTTGTGCCATCCAAATCGCTCCTAGATCCAGCATGATCCACCTGCTGTTTTGCAAAGGTCCAATTAACCTGCGACAGTTCCATCGCGAGGTGAAGAGCGGGAGCTTTGAATTCCGCTCCCCCGAGTGGGATCCCATCTCACAAGGCTGGTGCCGGGCCTGTCGTTGGGATGTGGGTCATTGGCCAACTTTGACCCAAACCCATTTGAACAGTGCCACTTTCCCTCAAGCCAGGCATGTAGCAGTAGCAGATGCTGTGAGAATCCATTGAATGCGCGATTCATTTGAAATTCATTTAATGGCAGATTCAGCCAGATGCATGCGCGACAGGGATTGATATGGGTCGATCTTTTTTCCCCTCTTGAAATTGGTTCCTGGGATATAACGGGCATTAACCATCAAACATGGGGATATCATGGGTATACAACCAATGATTGTCTGTTGTGAGTTGTGACCGCTTCGTGGCTTTCCACTGGCCCATGGCGCCCTTCTCTGCGTGCGTCATGGCATGCCACCAGACTCCAGCAAGTCTCAGGTCGGAGATGATGTGCAGGGGGAATGGTTGTGGCTCAGTTCGTGGATTCGTGGTAGAACAACTGCTGAATCATTCTCTCAGTCTTTCTTTGGAACTGTAGATATGCCTACCTTCCGATTCTCATTATTCTGGAGATCTTCGGAACGTTTCCTCGATCATTTCACTTCTCTGTCTGCTTATCTGCTTAGTTTGATGCAGTTCTGTCCGCAGAGGCTTCGCAGACCCTCAGCCTCGCAAGAGCTCAGCAATGGCAGGGTGCGCTCGAGACCTTGCGTGGAGATGCAGCACCGAAGGCGGCGGGGCAGATTTTGGGCAACTCATTGCTACTACTTGGCTGATGCATCTGAAACTCATTGGGGAGTTCCCCCAAATTTCGAAACTTGCCAAAATCATCCAAAATATCAAGGAAAAACTCCTGAGCAGTGTTCGGGGCCCGGATGACTGGTTCGGGGTTTGTACTAACCTTTACTTTACATAATGGGGATGATCAATGATTATCATCATCCATTATGGGAATATTTTCCTAACCTCATAGAATGGGGAGCGGGAATATACTGTGAGAATGGGGAAGATCATGGAATAGCACAATCGGAGGTTGTGGCCTTCAACTCGACCATTTCAGCCTCTGCAAGAGCCTTTGTTTGGACCTTGGCCCTGGAGGCCATGGGGCGAGGTTTTGGCCATGGCTATGGGTCAAAAGAAACCCACAGAAAAAAATGGTAAAACAGGGAAACTAGGACAGGACAGGTTGTAGGTCAGTTGTTACATAGCGGGGACGAAAGATTTTCCGAGAGACATCTTGGACGACACGCTCATACCTTTTCATATGGTTCATAGGTCAAAGCGGTATAAGACCGCAAACAACTTCATCAGAAATAACATTGATAATGTTGATACAATCGTCAGTCATTCCTTGGGTTCAGCAACAACGATGAAACTGAACCAAGACTATAACACAGGATTTACCACCAGAACCTACGGAACACCAACCGTAAGTTTCAATGACAACACCGACAGTAAGAACACGAGGTTCAGGGCAGTAGGCGACCCAGTCAGTATGTTTGACAGAGGCGTGGATAAAACAGTCAATAAGAACAGTTAAAACCCTTTGTATAATCACGGCTTTCACGCCGTCGATTGGAGATTGGGAAAGTCAGAAAAGAATGTGGCAGAACCAATCAACAAGATAATGTAATTTTATTTTATATAAGTCATATTATATGGAAGACATCGTAAGGGAATATTTGAAGAACAACAGACAGGAAATGAAGAAGTTGAAGAACGAGAATACCAAAGAGAAAAAACATCTAACATACAATGAAATCAAGAAGGTCATAGAGAGCGGAAAAGACATAAAGAACAACGAAAATAAACCTATACAAAACAAACCCCAAAACAAAGGGAAGAAAACCAAAAATACATTTAACAAGTATAACTTTGATATAACTTGATTAAGTAGATCGGATATTAAAAAAATCTATATAGAATATATACAAGTATGGAAGCATTGGAAATCACAGATGTTCTCAATGAAAATGTCCTTCGGTATAGACTAAAAGGTGGAGCGTCCTACATTAGAGACAAACGCATTAAAACATTCTACCCTTCTTCGGTCTCTACTTACTCATCCAACTCAAACAGTGTCATCCGCTTTAACCTAACGGGTGGAGCAAACGAATGGATAAATCTGCGAAGTCTTTTGATAGGTTTTACCCTCATCAATGCCGACAATGACGGAACAAAAGAGTTAAGACCTGCCTATAAGCCATCATCATTTTTTCAACGAATGCGAGTAATGGCGGGAAGCAATGTTATTGCTGAAATTCCTGACTTAAATAGATACGAAGCAATGATGGATATTTTACAAGATGATGGTTCAAGAAACTATACTGACAATCTTGGTTTTGGTGAGACCTTTTACAATGAAGGAAATATATTTTTGACATATACGCAGTTGGCAACGAACCCAGTTTCAAACACAGTTCAGAATGTCATTGACCAAGCGAAACCTGACAATTTCGGAGGGTTTAAAAACAAAAAGACCGTTTATTACCGACCTTCTTGTCCCTTCTTCAATGTATCAAACTTCATTCCTTTATCATACTGTCCGATTGTCATTGAACTAACTTTGGTCAGTGATGCTAATGAACCCCTCGTTAATTTAAGTGGTGATTTTACCGTAGCGAATACTTCGTTCTTATGGAACATCGAGCAACCCATCATCACTTGTGATATTCACCGACTTGATGATAGGCTTTTCGCAGAGTATGCTGAACAAGGATTGCTTTTCCAAAATTTCAGCTGCTGAAATTTTGGAAAAGCAATCCTTGCCTATAACCTTCAACAGTGTTTCAGTCCAAACTCAAACAACAAGTAGAAGCACCGACATCTTTACAACAATCGTTAGAAATGTCAGTAAGGCTGACAACATCTTCATATCTTTTTACTCAAATTTTGGGTATAAGGGTGGTTTCCAAGAAGTGCTGAAACCTCATAACCTTCTTTATCATCCCCTTTCGTGGGAAAGCGGAACATCAATTGCTCAAAGATACTATGAAAACATTGATTTGTCCTTTCAGTTGAGTATTGGTAATACCGTCATACCCGAAATGCCAACGATGGGGGTTGCTGACAACTACAAGCATCTTCAAGAAACACGAAACAATCACGTTTCAATCAAACCTCATATGTATAGGACGAATTCCTTTTTAGCAGGGTTCAACCTCAAGAAACTCAACAGTGCCAATTACACTGGACTGAATTTGAAGAACAATTCAAATATGGTCGTCCGTGTTAAGCCATTGTATGGAACAGACCTATACACAACTGACAACGGAACTGATACTGGACTGATGCCTGACAAAATGTATATCGTTATTGAACACGAATGTATCTTGGAGATAAAAGCCCAATCTGTCATTTTCTATGACTAAAAAAGATAGTGGATAATTAATAAGATTACAATGAATAATTTTATTAATTATTTTGAATTCAATTTTGGATAGATGATTGACTTGTAAAGTTCCTTCGCTTCCTTTAGATGTTGTTTCTTTTCCTCTCCTTTGCTTGATTTCCACTGACCATAGACTTGCTGAAACTTTTGATAGTCTCCTGTGTCTATGCTTTTGCAGTTGTTCATCTCTTCAAACTTCTCTCTTATCACTTGTATTTCTACCTTGCTTGGTGATATTGCCTTGTTCATTGTTGGTTTCCTGACTGGTGCTTTTGATGAAGATGACGCCCCTGTTTCTTTCTGTGCTGTTTCTGCTTCATCTACATTGGGTGTCTTGTTGTCTTTGGGATGTTGATTGTTGCTCCTAATGCTTGTGGTTGGGGTTGCTTTCCTCTTACTCTTCTTGCTTTGGGCGGTTTGGTGGTTGTGGATGGGTCTTCCTGAAATTCTCTCTTCTCCTGCGTTGGCGGTTTTGGTTTCTGTCTCTTTGCTTTGGACTGTCTCACGCTTAAGGGTTTCCTCTTTTCTGCTGTTGGTATTGCCGAAGTGTCCATTGCTTCTGCGGTGTCGGGCACTACATCTACGTTCATTTTTGATTTTTCCTCCTTTAACTTCTTTTGGTGATTTACCTTTTTGACTTGTTTGTTGATTAGTTTTTGTGTTGGTTTTATCTTGGACGGTTTCTCTTCCTCGTCTTCGTCGGGTATGATGGCGTCTGTCAGTTTTGATGCTATTAGTCCTCCTATTGACCCTCCCTTTGCTGTTCCTCCTGCTGTGGCGACTGCTTTGATGACTGGTTTGGATGATTTAAGGAATTTTCTTTAAGATGCTTCTACTGCTTGAAGGCGGTTCTTCGTCCTCTTGTATCCCTGCCGATGCTGTTGCTCCGACGATATAGTGGTCTTGTGAATGACTTATTTTTGCCTGTTCTGCTACTCTCCTTTCGTTCTCTTCCCTCAACTCTGCCTCTCTGTCAAAGGACATCTCAAAGTCGCTGATGGCGTCGTCCCTCAAGTCGGTCATATCTTCAAAGTCAAGGTTGGGTGTTTCTTCTTCCTTCCTTGCGGTCGCTTCCTCTGCCATCTTTTTGAAGTTCATTTGCTGTAAGTCTGCTGGGTGGATGTTGTTTGTGTTCAGTGCTTGACCCTGCGGACTTTCGTGAAAATACCAAGCGTTCCTATCAAAGATTTTTCTGATGTCATTGGTTTTGAACTTTTCCCTGTCTATTTCCTTGATTAGTTCTGCGTAAGTGGGTATTCGTGTCAATCCCTGTTTTGTGTTGATTACTTCTGCTGTCATTGCTATATATTAATACTTTAGATTTTTATATTAATCTTGTGTATCGCCTCTCAACCACTGTTTATACTCATCAATTCTCTGTTTCATATTCTGGACGTTCGCCCCGTAATCTTCCAATCTGTGATTTTTCCTCACCTCCCTCAACCTTGTCATTTCGTTCTGTAGCATCTCATTCTCTTCCTTCATCCTCTGCTTTACTTGTAAGACCTTGTAATCGTGCTCGGTGTTGTGAATTCAAGAAGACGCTTTAGGTAAAGATGATGGTTGTGAGTTGGCATCCTTGCCGTGTTGCTGTCGTTGTGGTAGTAGTAGTCATAACTACTATACACTTTTTTTCTTCTGTCTGGCATTTCGGGGGTTCCGCTCCTGTAGTTGGCACTTTTGTTTGAATGGACGGTTTGTCTTCTGTTGATGTCCTTGCGGACGTTTTCGTAGATGTCTGTTTTGTTGAGTTCCGTTTTCTGTTCCTTGATGTTCATTTTTATATACAGTATAATACTTTATAACATTTTTGATGCTAAATATTTCAATTTCTCTCTCGTCGCTTTGTTCTTTTCCTCTTTGGCTTTGTTGTAGGTGTCTCTGGCGGACATCGCACTTTGTAGTTCTTCCTTTATTTGTTTTACAAGGTCGCTTTTGAATGCTTCTGGGTCAAAAGGTGGTTTCGCCCTTGACGGTCTTACCCTTTTGGGTTTTGGGACTACCGTTGCTGGTTGCGGTTTCTCTTGAACTGGTGTTTCAATTATTTCTTCTGGTTTCTCCTCTTCCTTTGGTGCTTCTTCCTGTATTGGTTCTGGTATTGTTTCTTCCTTTGGTTCTTCATTATCAATCTCTTTTACGACTACCTCTGTCATATATTAATATTATAGATCATTTTTTATACTTTCAAAATCTCGTGCCTCAAATACGGTTTGTTCAATCCTTCCAGTTTGAAGGTTCTGTTTCCGACGTCGTCGTATTCTATCTTGACGATTTTGTAGGATTGATTGCTCCACGTTGAGTTATACTCCTTCCTCTCGGTGTAGTTGTCTTTTTTCTTCTCAAAGACCTTGACCATATCATTCACTTTGACCTCTGGATATTTGCGAGTGTTCTTTTCCCTCCTTGTCAAATTCACCCTGACGTCCATATGGTTCTTGTCGTCGTGGGCATCCTTGGGTTTCATTTTGGTTGATGAATGGACGGTGTCGTCGTATTTATCTAAAGCTTTGGACAACATCACAGTCCAACTACCGCGATTAAACCTAACTCTATCGTGTATCATATTTTTCATTGTCCTTATGAAACGCTCCACAACATTAGCGTGTGTTAGGGTGACGACGTGAGTGATGCCTTCTTTCTGAAAAAAGTTTTTTACCCCTGCTTGGAAGGCACGGTCATTATCACTATAAACGGACATTGGAAAACCCATTTTGTTGAAACTCTCTTTCATCGCCGATAATGTAATTGGTCCGGATTTTTCTTTCATAGGGACGACGTTTGCCAACTTGCTGAAGATGTCAATGACCACCAACCCATATCTCGGTTCGTCGTTCTTGATGGGAATTTTCGTCTCTGGTTCTTTGGTAAGGGGTTTCATATCCACTATGTCAATCTGATACTCAAACCTTGCGAAGGGTGCGGTGTAGGAGTTTGAACCCCTGTATTTTCTAATCTGTTTGTTGGGCTGTTTCCTCATAAAGTTTTCCACATCCACCCTGTTGATGGTCTGGTCTTGTTCCTTTGCTTTCTTGAGGGTCTCATTGATTGAACCGAAACCCGTTTCCAGATTGTAATAGACATTGCTTATGATGTCATCTCTTGATAGTCTCCTTGCCATATATTATAATATTAGATTTTTAGAAATATCAACAGTAAAAAAAATACTTAAAGAAAAAGTACCTATATATAGTAAGACTAAATAAGATGACTAAATTTGACTGTGGATGTCGTATTGTGACAGATGTTATAACCCTGAACGGAAGAAACCAACCTAATTGGAACTACTTGCTCAAAACCTTTGTGAATGTGTGTGGCAAGTGCTACAGGAAGCAAATAAAATTCCAATATATGGAAAACAAACTTATGGAAATGGAAAAGCAACGAATGGACATGTTTATGGAAAATGAGGATGAAGAACACGACACATACTTTGACCTACTACTTAAGCAAAAACAATCTTTAGAGCAATACGCAGAGTATGGAGAGATAAACCACGACCTTATGACAGAAATTTATGAAAACATATTTGATAAAGATTTAATCAAAAAACACGGTGAGAGGATACACCATGGAGGAGGAATGACAGCATTACAACAAAACTATTATACACTATTGTCAGTGTTGGGATACTTGATTGACCAACGAGGACTTGATAGAGACACAATCATTTTGGTGTTCTACAACATCAAAACGATTGTTTCTCAATGTTGGGATGGAATAGGTAGTGGTGATGAAAAGTGGAGACACTAAACCTAACGATTAGTTCATAATATCTTAATAAAATATATTATGATGTAATCCACCCTAAAAACCCCTTAAAGACATAACCCCTTAAAATTGTAGAGGTATAATGACTGACAAAAAGCAGTGTTCTAAATGTAAAGTCTTTCAACCGTTAGACTACAAAAATGAATGTAAGCAGTGTAATAAATGTTTAGAAAACAAACGCAGATACAGGGAACAGCACAAAGAAACTTTAAAACAATATGCTCAACAATACTACGAAAGGAAAAAGGAAGAATTAAGTGATAAAAAGAAAGAAACGTTGGAATGTCCAATTTGTAAATGTGAAGTAAGAAAATATACAATGAAACGACACGAAGAAAGCATCAAGCATCAAATGAACATTAGTGGACACTATCTCATACAGTAAAACCACAACAACCTCAACATACCCTACCCTCATCCAAACCAAACATTAATCAAACAACTCCGACGAAACATTTAGCAAGATTGACAGAAAGAAACAGTCAAACATTTAGATTTACAACATTGAACAAAAACATAACAGCCTCCCACCTGACCTCCAACCTGTCTTGTCCCAGTTCCCCTGTTTTACCATTTTTTTCACAGTGTGCGAATCCCCATCCCATCTTGCTAGCCTATCTTGGTCTATTCCAGTTGATTTTCTGTTGAGTTTTGAGGATGGTCAGGGGTGGTCTCTAGGGTCGGGCTATGATCCATAGCTACATCAATTCCCAGGTGCTGAGAACTTTGCGGACTTCTTTGGCACTGCAGCCGACAGTGGTGACTTTGAACAGCGGCATTGGCGTCTTTGAAAAGGGAAAGAAATGGTCAGAAGCTGTGAATTTCCTGGCAGCTTGACTTTCCGGGGTTGGAAGATCAGAAAGGCGCTGGGAGGAAGACTCTTGGACAATGTCCAATAGGATTGGATACACATATGATAAAAACATAGAGATGTTGACATATGATTTTTTTGATGTACTCCACAGGCAGGTCATTCATTTTCGACGTCCAGGCAAGGATGCGGCAGCAACAAGTCAGAGCAGAGGAATTAAGTTTCAACAGCTGCATGACAGCGGTGGGCCAGTGGCAGATTCATCATTCCCTGCTGAAGCAGATGCACCTGCTGAAACTGCAGCTGGACGCATTTTCCTTCCGGGCATCTGCTGAAAAAGCACACTGGCTCCTAGCCGTGGCACTGCAAGATCCTTGATTACTCAGGATGAAGGGTGTCATTCAACAAGACTTGAGGCCGCTGTTCGGATGATCTAGCCTTCTCAAATTCAAAATTCTTGCTGAACAATAGGAGCGCACGTTGTTTGTCTGCCAACAACACGTCTTGCAGAAAATATTTTGGGCCTGCAAAGGTTAACATTTGGTTGAATTTGGTCACACCACAAAATAACATGGTTGATACATGTCCAGTATCTGATTCCGCGATGTTCAAATCTTTCCCCATACCCCTACAGCGACCCATCGAAGCACAGCCCGCACCTGTCAGCTGCCATTTTGGCGATGGATCAATAGTGGATGAACATCCATAAATCATCATAACTCATCATGAATCGTCATAAATCATCGCACATCATCACTTAAATCATCTGTCATCCACAAATCCCATCATTTCCATCATTTCCATCATTTCCCAGCTTCGCTTTTGATTCCATGGGGATGACCCATGGCTTTGGGTCATGCTTTTGACCCATCCTTTTCGGCGCCCAGGAGAGGTTTCGATGCTCGTTCTTGGTGTCGAATGCCTTCCTCGACAGCGCGGTGGTGCACGCCTGTGAGGAGCGCTGGGAGGAGACGCTGCAGCTGCTACAGCGTGCCAGCTCGCTGCCTGACATTGTGATGCAGCTTGGGAAAAAAATGGGAGTACAGGAACCATGGAAAATACCTCTGTTGATGGCTTGATTACAAAGGAATATCTCAAAAAAAGGGGTTATAGAGATTGATTATACATGGTTATACTAACTGACCTATTGGTGATTATGAATTAACCCATCATAGGAATATTTACTAACCAGTATGATTCAATGATGGGATTACATCAAATGGGTCACGGGATCATCAAACCTGACCAGATCGAAGATTCCCGTTTCTACTGGGAAAAGCGTCTGTGGAATAGTCTACAATTTAAATTACCTTACATATCCTTAAATAGATGTGGTGCAAAATTTTGGGGAACATTGCAACCTTCGCATTTTGCATTTTTTTAACATTTGGGGGACTTGTAACTATCCAATCCATGCTGAAGGATAGTTGTGGCCATGGCCATGACGAAAGGGATGCGTGATTGAATTTGACATGTAACCTCAGCGCAGCCCAAAAAATCCACCGGTTTCCAGTTGAGAACTACTGGGCACAGGGCTTTCAACTTCATGGTATCCCCTGGTGGCCTTGAGGTATAACGCCATCATGAGCTCCTGTGAGAAAGCCAGCCAGTGGACAACAGCTCTGGCAATCCTGGAATTTGTGGGAAAGATCAGTGTGCGGCGCAGCATCGTCTCGTATAACACAGCCCTGGACTTAGAGAACTGGAAGGTCACCACCGCTATTCTTTGGATGTTTCTGGAAAATGGTGGGACATCGGCACATCCAATATCATCCACCATTTTCATCCACCATGTCTTGCTTTTTTCCGTTTTTCTTACATTCTTAGCTGGGGGAAGCCTATCCTGGGGCTACTCCCTCATCATAAGGTCATGAGTGCCTGTGTAAGCACTGAAAACTGGCAGCTGGCAATGGATCTCTACACCGAAGCGATGCAGTCGACAATGAGGTCTGTGGTGGTGTTTGACGAATGTTTTGCTTGGGAAGGTTGGCAACCAAAACAGCTTGAAATTCGGAATACCTTAGCATGGATGCTTGGTTGAGGCAACAGCCAACTTCAGATCAAGGTTGGTGAAGAACATGACCCCACTCTCCAATCTATACACATAGAGAGAGAAATGTAGCTGCGAGGCAGCAAATCTCATCCGGGATCGTGGCTTGCGGTACCTGCCATAGGCCGAATGAGTTGACTGCACTGGCCGTGGTCACCGCCTACGATCAAGGTGTCTTGGCTGAGAAGACTGCAAGGAAGACGGTTCCATCTGTGCCCGTGTCTCGTTTTGTGTCGTTTTGGACTGCTGGATTACAGTACCCACTGAAACACATTCTGAGGCTTCGCAGGGCAAGAACATGGGCTGGGCTGGGGTGTAGATTCACATCATGTTGGGTTGAGGGTCAGTGGTTTTTGTGGTTTGTATTCAGCAAACATGTTTTAGGCTATCAATGGAAGCGCGCCATGGCCTCACTTGCATCTTTCAAGACGGGGCGGCTCACATCAGCGCGGAATGCCGTGGTGTCTGCCTGCAGCACCACGGCACAGTGGCAGATGGCTCTGAACATCTTCGCTGAGCAGGTTAGGCGAAACGGGAATCGAAATGGGCAACTGCTGACAACTTAACAACTCAAAAGGTCCACTGCTGATTCCTCACAGTGTTGTAGTTTGTTCAAATCCCTGTTAAACAATGGATGCTCACCCACCCCCGGTTGCCAACCAAGAATAATGGCAATTGTGCAACTCTTTCCCTATCGACCTTTTCGACCAGCGGCATTTTCTACTCCCAAACCACGCTAGATGTTGAAATTCAGGCTTCCTTGATCGATTTATAATCACGACAAATCATACACTCATTCAAGAAACTTCAATAATTTATTATTTGAAGATACTTGAAGATAGTTAAGTTCATGTTAAGTTCGTCTTCCCCATTTCTTCAGGACGTCAGATTTGAGGCCACCCATGGCCACCCAAGATCTGCCCATCTCTGCAGGTCTCAGCCACCCTGCAGCCCGACATCATCGGCGCCAACGCGGCCCTGCAGGGCGCGGCCGAGGGCCGAGGCTGGCGACGCAGCGTGCGGCTCGTGGCGGAGAAACCAACGGTCACGTGGCGACTGGTGGGGGTTGAGCAATCAACCTGGTTAAACCAATCCAAATGATGCAAAGTGGGGGGAAAACTTTGGAAAAACCCAGTCTGTGAACTCATGAAAGCTAGGCTTAAACCTGGGGGAAAATAATTGAATTCAGAGTTTAACCAAACGAAAATGGGAGGTTGACCATCAACATGGAGGCTGAATTTATTGGATCTTCCCGTAACAAAGCAAGATCCAATCAATATGAGGGTCCTACCATTGCGAACTGGAGATACAACCAATGGATGTCCAGAGATACTCATCGGCTGGAAACGTGGGTGCAGATGGATGCTCCTTTGCATTTCGATTTGTCCCCCAAAGCACAGTCAGGAGTCAGGAAGCAGTGTTCTTGCCAGAGGGAAGGGTGGCTTTTCCGCCACTTTCCTCAGATCAACCTGCCTCACTTTCTGAGGTGATTACGATGAACGCTTTGCTGAGCATCTCGTCGAAAGCTAGACCCCTCACCTAAGGGATAATCAAGATAAGCAACGCAATTTCTGATCAGATGTTGATCATGCTTAGTCCCTTCGCACAAATCGCACAAAGAGACAGACTTGCATCTTGCAAATGTTGTGCTTACGAAACTCACAAGACCGCAGTTGGCACGATTTAAACTTGGGTCTCGGCTTTCAATTGACCTGCAAGTGGACGAACTCATATCTCAGAGAAGCCCATCCCCAAACAGTGTGTCCACACTGAGGGGTTCTTATGGTAAGTCTAAAGGCCGGTGCTTGATCAGGGTGCTCCAGCTGGGCCGCGGCAATTTTCCTGTAAATTTCTGTATAAAGTGGCTCTTGATGGCTCTTGTGAAATGTTGACATGCATTTCGACTGCGCAGGCTCGCACAAAGTGTGGGCCGCGGGTTTGGGGCGTGGCATTTTTCCTGTCAATTTCCGTATAAAGTGGCCCTTGTCAAATGTTGAAGTGCATTTCGATTGCGCAGGCCCGTATAAAGTGGCTCTTGTGAAATGTTGACATGCATTTCGACTGCGCAGGCTCGCACAAATTGTGGGCCGCGGGTTTGGGGCGCGGCATTCTTCGTGTCAATTTCTGTTTAAAGTGGCTCTTGTGACATGTTCAAGCGTATTTCGACTGTGCAGCCTCGCACAAAGTGTGTGTCCGCTGTCTGGGCTCAATCTGGGGCGCGGGATTTTGCCTGTAAATTTCCGTATAAAGTGGCTCTTGTGAAATGTTGAAGTGCATTTCGACTGTGCAGGCACGCGCAAAATGTGTGTCCGCGTTCTGGACTCAGTCTGGGAGGCGGCATTTTGCCTGTAAATTAGAATATAAAGTGGCTCTTGTGAAATGTTGAAGTGCATTTCGATTGCGCAGGTCCAGTAAATTTTCGCGCAAAGTGGCTCTTGTGAAATGTCGAAGTGCATTTCAACTGCGCAGGCTCGCACAAAACACGCACCGCTGTCTTGGGATCGGTCATCCTCCTCCGCATCAGCATCCTCAGTGTCATCCTCTTCCTCCTCCTCAACATCATCATTCTCCACATAATCCTCTTCCCCCCCTTGGCATCATCATCCTCAACATCATCATCCTCCACCTCCTCTTCCGCAACATCATCCCCCTCCACCTCATTTTCCGCAACATTATTATCATCCTTTTCATCATCCTCCTCAACATTCTCATTCTCAACATCACCATCTTCATCCTTCTGAACATCCTCCTCCTCCACCTTATCATCCTCAATTTCATCTTCCACATTATCATCATCATCCTCATCGCCATCCTCAACAACATCGTCCTCCACACCATCCACCTCATCTTCCGCAACATCATCCTCGCAACATCATCCCCCTCCACCTCATTTTCCGCAGCATTATCATCCTCAACATCATCGTCCGCAACGTTTTCATCCTCATCCTCATCCTCATCCTCATCCTCATCATCATCATCCTCCTCCTCCTCCTCCCCATCATCATCATCATCATCATCATCATCATCATCATCATCCACATCCTCATCCTCATCCTCCTCCTCCTCCTCCTCCTCCTCCCCATCATCATCATCATCACCATCATCATCATCATCATCAGCATCAGCATCAGCATCAGCATCATAACCATCATCATCCACATTATCATACATGATCCTCCCACTCCCCCACACTGTTTGGGGCCTCTTGCCAGCCGTTGACACCATGTGCTTTGAGGCAACTTCGAAACCACTTCGAACTGGCTTGAAGCCATTGGGCTCCAGGAAGTCTTTCAAGGACATCAGGTGGGGCTTGACGCTGCAAACTTGGGTGGTTGGTGAATCAGCCGGCCAGGTGGAGTCTGATGTGGTGTCCTTCAACTGTGCCATGGGGGCAGCTGCTGCTGGCAGTTGCTGGCGCCAAAGTCTGAAACTCCTTGGCGAAATGAAGCGCTGCGAGGTGGGACAGGGTGGGAGAGAATGGCAGAGCTTGGAGTCCTGGAGATGCAGGGATCTCAGGTTCCCTGAAGAGAAATAGATATACCGTACCATTGATATATATATATATTAATATATATATATTATTGATATACTAGTAGGATCCAGTAGGATCGAGAAACTATAGGCAACAAATCGTGTCAATGTAAGTGGTGTCATGCGCCTGCGCCTTGTTCGATGGTTTTCACCCTATGAGAAGCACCAGAAGAATCTCTAGAAGGTACAATCAGTAGCAATTATATAGAGTATCAAATATGATACTCCCAGTATCCCACTATCCCAAAAAGTATACTCCCAGTATCTAAATATCCAGAAAAGGATACTCAAAATATCCAAATATCAAGAACAAGATACGCAAAATATCCTGTAATGCCTTGTTTCCAAAGGATACTCCAGAAATAGAACAGAAATGAGCATTTCCCCTAGGGGAGGACATCTCCCCAAGGTAGGGGAGCTAAATTCAGCCTCTGATGACGTGTAACCTGTGGAGCTTCTCAAAGGGAGAATGAGTGAAAATAGCTTGGGGGTTCATGTGTTTTCCTACATGCGTAGGGGTAGGCTGCAGCCGCGACGCCTAATGACGCGTAGGTTTGGCTTATTGGAGGTTGTTACAACGGATAAAGGGCATATTTACTAACGAACTAGTGATTTGGCTATTTTTCATGGCTGCTGTAGAAAAGTCAAATTTGATCTTTACTTATAAATGCACGCATTTTGGAATGAAATGGTTTCTTCTCCAGGCAACCGGCATGGGAATAAATTCATTTTACGATTGGGCGCTGTTGCAGCTCGGTCACTGCCCTTTTCTTTGACGCGTCGATATGTTTTCCATGCGCATATTTGATTTTCACCTGTATCTACAAGCCAGATCATTGGGAATTGGGGTCAAAAAATCCAAATCTGTTTGGTGGTTTGGAACTTTTTTACTTTTCCATATATTGGGAATAAGAATCTCAACTGACTAATATTTTTCATAGGGGTTGAAACCACCAACCAGAAATTGGTGGGGCTCCCAGGCTGAGTTTGCTCAGATGACATGGGTTAAAAATGGGGCAATCGTAAATCATGCCGCAAAACTATATCATCTGGCTCCTGGACCGAAAACGTATGGACAAATACTTATGTTATCTGTCGAGAAAGTCACAACAAAGTACTCATGTCACTGGACCCTAGTATATATAATAAGATTACCGGTGATAAGGCAAGTCAAATTTATGAATACAAGGTTGAAGATGATGAAATGCAATACGCAGAAATAGAGACCTAAAGTAGCAATGAGGTAGAGAAGAGTAGAAAAAATAAATACAACATTGTCAGCATATCAGGAGAGAGGAAGTTGATGAACGGATTTAGGCACATTAAAGAACTGCTTTTACAAAATCATAACTTCTATATGTATGAAAGTGCCGAGAAGCTAAAAACCAATAACATTAATGTTTATGCTGTTAAGAGTGATGCCTTCCATATTGCTAAAAAGGATGTCAAAAAGGCTAACAAGGTATTGGACTTTTATGAGGGCATAGGGGGCTGGAGAGTAGAAAGCAACAAGGTAAAACCCATTCCTCAAAGGTATAGCTGGAGACATAATGAAATCCCAACAGCACCGGTGTATAAACCAGAAAGGGAAGAAGTAGATGATGAATGAGATGTAGAAGCCATTTGTAAAAAATATTATCAGAAGAAAGAGGATGATGTTGAGAGCTAGATATGCCGGTAGTGGCAAGAGCTTTACAGGCAAGCATCTACAGATGATGGGTTATAATACTTTATTCGTTGTCCCTCAGAATGTGCTGAACCAAGAGATAGAATGTGATGCTACAACATTAAATACATTCTTTAGCATTCCAGTTTTTAAGGGTGATAAGTTGCCATAGTGTTTGATGAAATCTAAATGTCAAGTCCATATATATTGAGGAGAACCCTGATTTGATTATGGTAGGTGCCGGTGATGTCAAGCAACTACCAAGCATAGAACCTTATACTAGCTGCCAGAATGTAGAGGAGTATGTAGATAGTTGAATCTTTAAGTACATAAAATAACCTTTTTAAAGATATGTAAGAGTGTAGGAGGCAAAGACACCGAAGAAGGAGAAAGAAGCAGAAAGAAGTTGGATGAAATGTATGATGACTGGTGGGTTAAGAAAATGGATGTTTGTGATTGGATAGTCAAGCATTTCAAATTTACAAAAGATGTAATGCAAAGTGAGAACAACCTAGCATATACCAATATGAGATGTCAAACAGTATCAACTGAAGTGAGAAGATGATTAGGTAAGAAAGGTCAATATGAAGTGGGTGAGATGCTAATATGTAGATTGTGCCGGAAGGATGAAGAGGGCAAATTCAATGTAAATATCAGGTGGTTAATTACAAAGGTAGAAGGCAGTATGATTACAATACAGGACATCAAGGATAAGGAGAATGCCAGAACAGTAAGTGAAAGTGTCATAGACAATCATTCTAGTATATGCTTACTGCTCAACCTGTCATAGCAGGCAAGGGACATTAATAGCATCAAACATTACAATCCACGTATGGCAAAAATCATATCTGGTAAGCAGAGTGGATTTGGTGTGCTATTACAAGGGCAAGGGATTTTAACAATGTCTATTGCTTTAGGAATTACAAGGCAGATGAAGAGATGCAGAAGAATTTAATAGTAGGATATTTTAAGAACAAAGTAGAAGGATACAAGAAGCAGGATAAAGTAGCAGATAGAGAGATTGATTTAGAAAACTATGTTGATGAAGATTTATGTTTTAAACATTTTCACGGTTGCTGTGCCCACTGTGGGGTAAAATTTTACATTGGGATGAAGGCAGGGAAATTATCAACAAACTTCACATTTCAAAGGCTAGACAATGAGATTAGTCATCATATAAACAATGTTGAGCCTTGGTGCCAGTATTGTAATTGTAGTGCCCACTGATTATTGCTAAATAATTTTAGCAAACATAATTATCTTAACATAGTTGAGAATGAGTACTAAACAGGATATTATGTCAAATATTTATTATGATAGAGCAGGGTATGGTTCAAAGAATACAACCTTGAAAGATGCCACAGAAAAAGATAAGAGTATAACAAACGAAGATGTAGATTATTTTTAAAGAAATAATGTTGAGATTAAAAGAAAACAAAGAGGTCAGAACAGTTTTGTAGCCCCCCCCACAATAACCATACTTTTCAGCTTGATCTGATTTTCATTTCAAAAAAATATATTGAAGCAACTCAGAAGTTTAGGGCGGGACTGGTAATGATTGATGTCTTAAGTAAATATGCTGTAGTAGTCCCAATCAAGAGTAAAAGCCCAACCGATGTCATTGCTGGAACAATGGAAGGGCTGGAGAAGATGAAGGCAAAACCAAAAATCATATACGCTGATGATGAAGGTAGTATAAGTGGTGCCGACTTCAAACAACGAGTAAAAGATGAAGGGATTGAACTTTATAGAACTAGAGGGCATCCAGCGTTCGCTGAAGGATTTATTAGGACATTTAAGGATAAACTATTTAAACGGGTTGAGAATGATGAGAAAAAGGCAAAACATAGTATACAATGGATGATTACATAACCGAGTTTATGCTAACATATAACAATAAGGATGTCCATAGTGCCACTGGACTTGTGCCAAATGAAGCAAGGAGAGAAAGGAATGAGTTTAAAGGAACACGTAATGGTTCAGTAAGAGCAAAGAAAGAAAGGATGTATCCAACATTAGAGGTGGGAGACAAAGTAAAGATAATGAGAAAGAAGGCAATAACAGAAAAGGAAAGAACTTCTCCTTGGCTGAAAGGCTGAAAGGTTATTATGTTGTGCAAGAGATTGCAGAAAAGTTTAATCAAACATATTACAAATTAACTGATTACCCAAGATTGGTGATGAGGCATGAACTTTTAAAATATTTTGCTTTTTTTGGAAAGCCTTTTGGTGTGATTTGATTTGCTCTTTTGGTTCCTTCATTTGTTTTCCCCATGATTTTGTCTTTGGCACATTTGTGTCATTGGCTGGGATTACTCCATGTTCCTTTGCCCTTCTGCCCCGTCATGGCTTCGTCATCAATATTCTCTTCATCCTGTTGTCGGACGCTCAGCTTTTGGGAATATGCCAGTCGGAGTTTTGCAGCTGTGAATTTGCCACATTTTCTTGGAACTTCACTTGACCGTGGAAGCTGTTTCAATTTGAGCGTCTTTGACATTCTAAATTTGAAAGCTACAGAAATTAGCTCTTTCAGTTTGAGCTTGGAATTTTGTGTCATTTTCCAGCATCTTTATGTTCTCCCATAGCTGTTTTGGGAAGTGTTTCCTCAAACCACTCAGGGGCGTTTTTTTTGTGGTGTCGGCAACGCCATGGCGCTCAAATCCGCTGTGTTCGCTTGCCTCATCCTTGCAGTGAGCTCTGGAGCTGCAGCCACCAACACCACCACCACCACCACCAGCATCAACAGCATGGTGATTCCCTGCGGGCAAAACATGAGCTGCGACAACGGCACACAGGAGCCCTTGACGAATAATATGCGGCGGAGGAGGCGGAGGAGGCGCGAGAATAGGAGACGCCGCAGACGCACAATGAGATCTGCGCCATGAGAGACACTTTGGGCTTCTTGCTCGGTCTCAGGACACATGGTGACTTGCGTCATGCCTTGTCTTGAGAAGCAAGTAGAGTGAGTTGCAAAACATTGTTTGCTGTTTGCTTCGCCAACCGGGCGACTTTCAAGACAGTGTTCTTAGCGGAGGCTTTTGTGGCTGAAAAGGTCATTCATGCCAGTGAGCCTTCACAAGTTTCAAAATACTTGAGAAGACTGACACCAACAAGGATGGACGCACGCAAATCTCTTTCACTCCATTTCGCCCCAAAAGTTTGGATTGCTGTGCCATTTACATCGCGCTGAGGTTCAGAAGACATGGTTATCAACAAGTTCATGAAGGGCGGTTTGGGCATGGTAATTGCGGTAATTATATAAAGATATTTGAGATTGAGAAAGATGTGATGCTGTTGTGATATGCTAGTTAGTTTGTATGTATGCTGATATGTGGTAATTAACCCCACAATCTTCATAATAAATCATTATGAACATTATGTTGGTTATCCCCATAAGTCTAGCAACACAATTCTATTAAATTTATGGTGCAATTATTTGCCAGGAATATTTCTAGCAATTATGATTTCCAGAAAGAAACCTATGAAATAGATAAGGTAAGGTGATATATATTTGTATATGCTTCGATGAACAGTATTTGATATAATTATGATGATTATGTTATATAATTTTCATGGATGAGATGGATGAGATGGATGAGATGGATGAGATGGGTTGATATGATGAGGCTGTTATGGTTTTATGGGTGATGTCTGCTAAAATGTATGCGATGATGATGGGGATGAGCATGAACTGGGGGCTGAGGCTCCCTAGCCTATACACCCTCCAGTCAATGAACATCGACATGGCAACAAACATTGGGAAAAAACAATTGATCCAAATTTCTTCGTTTTCCCAGACTAGAATATGATCTGGTCACTTGCGGCAAACCTCTGCCGCTATTTGCATTCACCAAAACAGATTACAAACAAACTGTCATAATATTATTCCGTGATATTCCGTGACTGTCAATGACTAATAATAAACCTTTGTTTGGGTGGTGGACAAAAATCGTGATCATTCCAATCATTTCACTTAAAACTGGTGCCTTTCAGAAAAACATCGACAGGGATTCTATCAACATCCCTGCAGGTGATGGCGAATGAGCGAAGCGTGGCAGCCGTCCAAAGTGCCTGTACCAAAGCGACCGCTGTCGATTTGAAAAGATGGGGCACACGACACACCGGAGCAGTGACTGCAAGATGAAAATTGGGGATTATCATAATCCGTTTGATGAAAATCCTATTGACCAACCAGTATAAAGGGAAGAGAGAGGATGTTGAGCACTACTCACCAGCTCAAAAAAATTAATATGGTAAGATGGGATATGATACAATTGGAACCCTTCGTTTGACAATTACTGTAGTCAATTAGATCAATGATATGGGCATTGGGCTACATGGATCAAAATGGGTAAACATGGCATGGTGTGATGACAGCGATAAATGAAAAACGAGTGGTGGCTTAGTGGGTCTTCCTATATTTGATCCATACCCATCTGGCCTATGTCAATGTTGATACTGTAATCCCATCCTCCCCCTAGACCCCCGGATGTAGTATTGGATGTCTGCATTTTGGGGTTCCACATGCTGGGTTAGTTGATAATCATTGGGCTGGGATTATCGATCAATTTTATCCGTGTCCTATGTCAAAACCGCCAGGGGCCAAGAATCTCATCACCCAGATGCTGACCTTTGACCCCAGCATCCGACCCACTGCCGAGGTGGGATGGGTGAGAATGGGGCAAATCGAACGCTTCATCATCAGTTTCCCCATGAAGTCACATCCATTTTGGTGGGTTCCTGAAATGGGGGTAACCCCCAAATCATCCCATTCATTAGACAATTTTAGTAAACCTATGGTTTTGGGGACCCCAACTTTTGAGAACTCCCATTTTTTGGTGTTATTCGCCGCTGTCAGACGGTGCTGATGAGTCCATGGTTGAAGTTCAAGGCGGGGTGCTGAGGCTCAAAAGGGGGGGAACCAAGCTAACCCGACAGTTTTCAGCTTGGTCAAATCCATATGCTTGGAAATTGAGGACAATATACTTGCTCCCTTCAACTATCAAATGTTGGCTGATGTTTGGCATGGTTATTGGATCCCATTTGAAACCCTGAAGCCATGAATTTTAGCTGGTGATATTTGGCCTGGTCTCAAGATCTGATTTGAAACGCTGAAGCGGTGCCATGAATATTGGGGGTCATTGACTTTGAGCCAATCCCAGCTCTGTGGAATGCCCAGGGGACGCCGAAGTCCACTCCTTTGTCAAAAGACTTCGTCACAAGGCATGGGCTCGGTGTGGGTTCTTGTCTAAAGGTCGGCCAAAAGTGGATTTCAGCAACAAACTTGGAGATAAATGGACAAGGAATTGGGATTTCCAGCAACTTTTGCGTAATATATACCTTTTTCTAGTTGATCACGGATCTGTAGGGTTTGGAAGATTCGAGTACAAAAACTTCATGAAACTTCCAATTGTTGGATTCCACAAACCCTGCGCTGATGCTTCAAAGTTGACCCTTTTTCTTTTAACGCTCTCCTACTAGAACCTGACACGTGGGCAGCTCGGTCGCCCCCGCCAGGTTATCTGGTTTCCGCGCATTTTCGAAACTCAAAAAGGCACGGGGCCCGTGCAGCTTCGACGGTGGTTGCACCAAAGTCATGAAATGCATCCTTTCGAGAAACAAGCACATACCCTGAAAATCCCTGAAACCCATTGATCAATATTGATCATTTGCTTTTGAATTGTGCTTCCCATTTCAAAGTCTTGGTGTTGGTTGCAGATCTAGAATCTAAACAGATATCCAGTTGGTAGGTGGCGTTGACAGCGCTGGCACAGCAACTGCCAGATGCTGCTGGGGCTGGAATGCGATGCCGGGGTGGCAGGATGAGCTTGCGAACGGCACTGGTCAGACTGGAATAGGCCCAAACTTTGAGACATAAACACACTTACCCTCCAGTAAATTAACATAGACCCTGGTAGATAGGGGTTGGAAGACTAGTTTCCACTATATATAAATTGGTCATTTTCAGGGTCTATGTTAATTTACCAGAGGGTATTCATTAACGGACAACACAAGTCAAAGTCACTCTTGTGAAAGAAAGTTCCATTGACACCAACAGCTTCAATTCTTTAAAAACGGGTCTTTGGCTAACCCGATCAATACCACGTCCTAAGTTTCCAGAAGTCTTGTTTCGCCTGGTTGACCTCTGCATGTTGCAGAGCATGGGGAATCAGCTTGGCCCACTGTGCCCTCAAGTCACCAGGGATTGGCTCTAAATCATCACCATCTCCACCATATATCTACCATATTTTGGGATGGGTAAACGGGTAAACTGACCAAAAAACCTATGGGTCCCATAACTGGCAACCAGTGGTGCTTCCATGAAGCCATGGCATGCCATGGCAACTTAGGAGAAGATCGAATCCTTGCAGAAGACCTTCAGAGCTTTGGATCAGCGCCCCTGGCTTTTTCGCTGCGAAAAAAATGATGCGGGTAGACTCGGTAGACAGAGGTTTATATTTGGCCCCCCAAATATAGACAGAATATCTCAGAATGATTTCCCCACTTCAAGCGATTTGAATTCCCATCGAAGCACCTTTGCACTCCGTATTGAATCGCTCCAAGTTTGCCCTTGGCTGTGATTCCCACTGCTATTGGCTGTCAATTCTTAATGCAGTTTGGCCAGGAATGGCGATGGCATGCTCTCCGTGGAAGAGATTCGGGCTAGGGATCCCAGCGGATGCCAGTGGATCATTGGCCTGCAAAAAAGGGCTGGCTCATTAGATGACCTTCGTTGGGTTTAGCAGCTACAAGAGAAATGTGTCAAACAAATTCCATAGATGACCTTCAATCTATGAACTATGAAATAGCATGTGTGAAGCAAAGAGGCTGAGACGGGCCACTTCAAAAGCTGCAAGAGATGATGTTTGAACTCGAGCACAGCCCACCATTATCCTGCCAGATCATCATAGATCATCTATTTCTTGCAAAAGGAACAGCACCAACTTTGGAATTTTCCCTGCCCAATGTTTTCCCGTTTGAAATTGAAATTGGACCTGGCAGGAAGCCATCGTCCAGCAGGGTTTGAAGCCCCCCAAGGCTCTGGAGGACCTAAGCGAGGCTTGATTCACCAAGATTTTTCCAAAGTACAGTATCAGATTATTGATGTATTTGATTGAGCTAGCTGGGTTGCTGCGGATGGCAAGCACTTCTTTTCACGCAGTGGTTTGCAGGACATTCTGCAGGCGATCGACTGCAATGGTTCTGGAAGCCTGGATTACACCGAATTCCTGGCAGCCATGTTAGACCAGAAGGTCTACATGCAGCGGGACTGCTGTGGTCGGCACCAACATTGCATAAACTTGCCAAAAGGTTGCAATAAATCTGTCTCAATCTGGATCTCATCTAGAACTGCCGGGTGATTTCAAGAGATTCTTGATGATATTTTATCACTTTCTGATTTTAAAAGTCCACGTTTGGAAATCAAGCCAGCTGACCAGCCTTTTAGATGGCTGGGTAGCTGGTCACCACCGCTGTATGTTGCGGTTAGGACGTTTGCTGGGCAGCGTTCCGCATTTTCGACTTGGATGGTGACGGCAAGATCACGCGAGAGGCAATCAGTCACCCCAGATGGTCCCAAATGGAGCATTACCCCCTTTTGATCACAAAACATGACTAAAACCTGTGGGTTGTCGGGTAACCCAGTTTTGAATATGACCCATCCCTATATTATACACAACTCATCATGATTCATATATCTCTGTGAGCACCTCTATATCCGGTACAGTCGATCAGCACGGTGTGTCATGGAATCAGACATCCACTGATTCTTGCGTCGGTGCATGTCGGTGCGCAGGAGTTGGGCAAGGCGCTGGTTGATGCTGCCTTTTTTGGCCTATTAAGGGGAATGAATCTGAGAAACCTGCAGCTGAAAGTTTGGGCCAGACTTAACAAGTACAGACGTAATTATTTTTCTCGTCACATCAATGCCCAATCCCCCACGGCTTCGTGTATTTTTTTTCAATCTAAGTTGATTCAATGGAGATTATCATGATTGATGTGATTTCTCTTGATCATCACCTCCAGAACCCATTACCATCACCCTCACAACCCATGATGTTCTGATGATTCTGACACCCACATTGTCATGCCGCTGTGAATCCTTCCCTTTGGCAACGCAAGGTTTTAAACGGCGACTCTGTGCAAGAGCTCTTCGGCACGAGCTCGGGGAACCCAGCTACTTTGCTGGTTCAATCCCAATTTTGTTGGTTAACGGTTAAACCACCATTTTTGTTGGTTCAGTCACTTATAATCATCTCATTTTGGTGGCCAACTCACCATTGTTTAAGACAAATCGTAGGCCAGCTGTAAAGCGTGAAGATTTCTGGGTCTCAGGGTGACAAATTTCGACATCCTGATCATTTTGATCGGTTGCATAAGGCCACCATGATGGTACCAAGACAGCAGATGTCAAAAGTCCCAGCACCACAGATCCATTGCAGGGAAGATCGAAAAGATGATTGAAGAAGTGGACAAGGCAGGGTTCTTGAAAAATCTTGGCATCTTGGATACCGAAGTTTCCGTAATCCTGAGGGTAGGGATAACGAGATGATCTATTTGAAGAGCTCTTGGAGCTTGGTGTTGTTGCGTGGATAAGGATGAGTCCGCTGTGGAATGCAGACACGAGCAAAAGCCACACATATAGATGTGATATCCCCTCTGGTAATCAAACATAGCAATATAATTAATTAAAACGAAACAAATCATAGATGATTTTCCCATAAAACATATAAAACCCGCCATTCATAGGGGAATTCCCATTGCCATGTTTGAGTACCAGAGGGTAGTACATCTGAATGGATCGAGAGATTTGGGCTTTTGATCCGTTTCTTCTGGTCATGGCAGCAACCGCATCTGCCAGGATGGTGACGGAGCTGTGGACTTCGAGGATCCAACTTTCATCACGCCATTCTTTTGGAAGAAAAGGATGTGGCTTAAATATGCTTAGATGTGAACGGTTCTGCAGGTACCCTCTGGTAATTTAACATAACTATGGAAAATCACCATTTTTAATGGGAAAACTCACTATAAATGGCCATTTTCAATAGCTATGTTAGTTTACCAGAGGGTACACATTAGGGATAGCCGGTTGATGATCATCTCTGGAGATTGAGCGAAAGCTGAATTTTGAGCTTCGTTCTGGGGGTTTGCGCTGGCCCATGATTCGCCACGAGCGCTGGCGAGGAGTTCTGTGCCATGATGTCGTCCAAGGCCCTGCCAGTGGAGATTGCCTCGCTGCAGATCTCCAGTTGGCGTTGGCAAAAGATGGGATTTATGAGTGAAAAATCATGGGTTTCCCCGTAAAAATGGGGGATCACCAATATTAATTCTGGATTTCCAGATTCAAAAACAATTGGGGATCCAGATCGCAAAGTCATGAAACATAGGTACGAATTGGGAATCTTGAGGGAAGAGCAGTGGTTTGGGGGGAACCTCAACATCCAACTTGAGGCCTGGCCCACTTGGGTCAGAATTCCCGCAGGCCGAACCGCCGAGTAAACGACAGAAGCTGAACTGAGCCGCTGCTTCGTTTCGCCAACAGACATGCGAATGCCAAAACAAGGCTGCATATCCACAGTGGTGGAGATATGATGGTTGCAGAACAACAAATCAACAAAATATATTTTGAAGTATGCCGAGGCATCCTTTATAATTGACACACCCACTGTGCCACGCATGGGATGTCACTTTTTCCAGGGGGGATTGACAGAGGTCAGGTCAGCTCACCGTAGCGCATCATTTTCTTGGCGCGTGGGCCACTGGGTCCGGGGTCGCCGTCCACCCGCGTCGTCCTGGCGCCATGCCAGGCTGAGGTGGGACCCCCGAGTGCCGAGTGGCACTGAATGAAGTCAATAGAAACAGCCTTTCATTTGCGGCAATCTTCGAGACAGGGGATATACAGTTGCTATATGTTGCTATAGAGGATACTTTTTTTGGTGTTATGCCCCTGCCCCTCAACCACAAATCACGAAACCAGCCTTGCAAAGGCCACATCCATGGCTGATGACGACGTCCCTTGGATTTCGAATATCACTTGTGATTGTTGGAGGTGGCGCCACAAGAAAACACTTGAGATTAGCTGAGGGATCTTTGGGGCATTCATCATTCACCACCATCAAACATCATCAACCATCATCAAACATATTATATAACCATCATCAAACATCATTAACCATCGTTATATAACCATCATCAACCATTACCCTCTGGTAATCTAACAGTTTGCTATTGAAAATGGCCCATAGAAATAGTTGATTCACCTATTAAACATGGTGATTTTCCATAGCTTTTTGTATGTTTACTAGAGGGTAACCATCGCCAGAAGCGCTGCAGGTAGCTGATTTGTTGGACGAAGCGCTGGAGACCGCCAAGAAGGACGCGCCAGCAGTGCCCTGGCCTTCGAAAAACACACCATTTTGATTGGACGAATGATGGTTGATGATGGTTAGGTTGATGGTTAATGATGGTTGATGGTGTTTGACGATGGTTATATATATAATGATGGCGGATGATGGTGAATGATGGTTAATGGTTAATAATCGTTACTTAAAGATTTTTTTTTGTGATGGTTATAGATGTTATAGATGTTATATAAAGATGATTTATGATGGTTGATGATGGTGAATGATCATGATTGATGTTGTAATTTTGAATGTTTAGAGAAATTGGGCGGCCCTCCAAAATTCCATTTTGGAGCCAACACTTGCTGAGGAGCCAAAGCCAAATGAGCCGAAGGATTCGAACAAGGCCACTGAGGGAACTGTTCAGGGCAGGCCCCCTTTGTCATTACTTCCAGCCCTGCCTTTCAAAAACCAATGTAACTTGTTCATACTTGTTCAAGTTTGGAAAGTTTGGAACGAGGACTGAACAACTTGAACTATCAAAGCTGTCTGCTTTAGCAACGAAGATTTGTTGCGACCCTTCGTAATTTCAACATCACCAGGACACAACACACTGTAGGCAAAAGCTCTGACCATGCCATGGAGAGGGGACGAAGCTGAGTACCTCTTTGTTGCTGCTTTTACCTTTTGCACCCTTTTGCTATATCCCAGATTATCCCATTAAATTTCAGCTCTGCAAACATGTGGGTCATATGACTGCGGCTCCACGATGGGTTCTGGGTAGCCCAAAAAGAACGCCGACAAATGTAAAAGATAGAATGATTGCGACAGTGGCTCCCATCCCTCCCAGGAGAAGGACAAGGAGGAAAAGGTGTCCAAGCTGCAGACATATTTCTGGACGGGACAAACTAATATGGGATCCAAAAAGAATAAAGACGATCTAAGAATCCAAGAATCTAAGAAGTTCCAGCTATACTCGCCTTGCCATGATGGATCCTTAGGGATGCAGTGACTTAGACTGAGGATCGAAGCCGGAGCAAAAGACGCAGCCGATCCAGAAGTCCGGACAGCTCATCTTTCTATTCCAGTGGGATCTTCTATGTCGGAAGAACTGGAGTAAAATCCACAGAGTTTCCATAGAATGGATGACGAAGGATCCTCTATTTTGAAAAAAGTTTATCTATTTGTTCCAGTGGATCTTTTGGAACCTCTTCATTTCGGATGATGAAGAAACATGGTTTACTGTACTGGTGCAGTAAGCAAGGTCGTGATCGACGCAGCGGCAGGGGGACTCAGATTATTGGTAATGGGCATGAAATTTTGTCCAGAATGTGGAACCCCAGATTGCCTGAATTTCACCAAACATGTATGTCGCACATGTTGGGTGCTTTACCTTTTGAAGCAACCGCTTCAATGCAGCAATGAGAAAAGAGGATAGAGGTAAGTGTGAACCATGTCAACCATCTTTCGCTGACTTGATCACTGATCACTAAGTTAGTGTGCACTTTCAAAAACTGCTTAGTGAACCATGTCTAGAGCACCCCCTGCAACATCCTGGAACCTATCAGCCGTGTTCCAGAATTGGCATCACCCACCTCCAACCACTTCACCCACTTCACCTCCACTTCCTCAAGACAATCAAGGGCCAAAGGAAGCTTTGCATCACCCCTAGACGGCACTGTGTTGAAATTCTCGAGGTCTTAGGGTTGACTTAAATTCAGTTGCTGTCAGTAAACTTACACTTCTGGCGGATTTATGGCTACATATCAACAATATCCGGTTGCCAAACATCAAAAACGGAACTGGTTTTACTGTAAACTTAGATAAACTTAGTAATTGGATGTAATTGGTGTATAATGGTGAAGTATTCCCTTTGTTTGTCAATGATTTCCCGATGTTTGTCGGTTACATCTTGGCTGTTTGATGGGTCTTCCTGGTGTTTTGTGGATCAGCAGCTTAGGTAGTCGAGATCGCTTTGGCCGAATGAAGCGGAAACGGGACTCCACGGGGATGTGGGAAGACACGGCAGGAGAATCCAAAAGATATAGGGAGGTCGAAACCTATGACCTATGATTTAGAGATTTTTGGGGATGAACATCTTTTCATTTTCACCAGGGTACTAAGTTTCTAGGGATTTTGATCCATAATGGGTTGAGTTGAGGCACATATATATATATAATCGTTCATTGTATAATGGATACACATATATATATATGTATATATGTGTAATGGACATATATATATATATTATAATCGAAAGCTGAACATAGTAATCCAGTAGACTCTAAAATCCAAAGGGCTCTTGATTTGAAGGTTTCGACATATTTTGACGCCCTACATCCGGGGTTTAATGACTTAGCCATCCAAGACAAGGGTCATTTAGCGTAGCGCAGGACAAATCCCGTGAACGTGGAAGCCGGTCAAGAGATAGAAGAGACAAGGAGCGGTGGAGATGGGCAAGTTCCAGGTAACAGGGAAACAGCAGGTGCAATCTAATATGAACTGTTTCAAAAGATAAGTCATAGACAAATCATGATAATTCATAGATAAATCGACAAATCACATCATCAATCTAATGTGATAACTTATTGATAAATCATGATAATTCCAACACATAACTCTGTGTTTGAATTGCATGAACTAGCATGTTCTAACCAAATTGCAAGGTTGGACACGTTTTCTATCGTTCTGTCAGATTTATTTGTGGATAAATGATTTGTTAAAGAGGGGATAAAGTTATCTCTCAGTTGCAGGGAGACTGTCACGCAAGAGGCTGAAAACTATATGGACTCCACGGACTATTACAGATGGAGCATCCCAAGCAAGTTGAATGGCAAATTTGAATTTCTATCCTTTCTTTGGATGGTTTCCTATTGAAAAAAGGGCTTTCCCTACAAGATTTTGGGGTTTCCGTGGCTCTGGAGTGAGGATCGCCGGCGAAGCCGTAGCCGTCGCCGCAGAAGCAGGCTGGACTTGACAACTGGAGAGGAGCTGACAACATCAGATGGGTGGAAAAATGGTGGGTTTTACTCTGTGGATGGAAATTGTTTTTCTTAACTTTTTTTCCACAGTTTTTCAGCCAAACCCAAAAAGACAGTCTTTGCCCCTGTTTGACCATTCGAATCTCTGCTGGGAGGAATCGTGGTGGCCGGCGAAGAAGGAGTCTTCAGATGTTTTCAGATCACTTCCGCTCAACCTGAGTTTGAACTGAAAATGGGGTAACCCCCAATCTACCCCTTGGTTTATTCTTTTAAAAAAAACCATTTTAATAGCAATTGCTGTATATCAGGCACTGCTTTCCTCCAGCCGTACACACCCCGCATTCTGGTGGTGAGGACCAGCAGTAGCCGCGCCAAGCGGAGAGCCGCTGGGCTGAGTTTGATGTGGCGATCGATCAACTATCAACAGATATGGACAGGGTTGCTCCAACCTTTCTGCTGGGGAAATGGTGATTTTTCCCCTTTGCTTACCATTTGATATCTGGGGTGGAGCAACATGGAGCAACCCTGATCAATCATGACGTTCCGTGGAGAGCAACAACTATGAAGCCAACCAGCGATTGGTTGAATATTTTTTGTCTGCGGCATGCAAAGGGACTATGAATGACCAAGACAGGGGTCCATTGGTTGTGCACGTTTGTTTCTCTGTGAGCATGCGCATGCCATGCTGCTCTATCTTTGAAACGTGTGGCTGAATGGTGGTTTGCCCTGCTGTTTCGGTGGCCGTTTGTTGCCCAGCCATGCACGCTTGGTATTGACTCAACGGCACGATTAAGGCAAGAGATCGTGACCGCGATCGGGAAAGAGAGAAGGAGAAGGACGGCTGTGTGGTCTTTTTTTCCATGTTCTTTCTTAGTTACTTCTGAACTGAAACATGGAGTTCAAAAAACATAGTGGGTGACTCGCCGATGAATGGCCCCTGCCTCCCATCCCCCTAGCGGCCCTAGCGGATAGGAAAGAGGTGGCAAGAAGGAGGCCGGAGATGGCTTGGGGCCGATCAAATTCAGAACTGCAGTACCGGACAATTTGGATATCTTTGGAGAATTAAAGTCATGTAAAAACTCAAAACATCATGTAAAAACATGAAACAAAACAATCAACAAAATCCATTTACAGTACATTTCCATGTTTTTGGACCAAAATCATATTTAAAAAACCATGGATTTTCCGGCAGATTG